ACACTGTATCACGACTTTTGTTTGTTTATTTGATTTCGCAGGACCAAACGAGCAGAGATGCTCAAGAATAAGGTACCGAATTATGGAGGAAAAGTGAAAATAATCGGGGTGGTGAGAAGATAAAAGGAAGGAGGGGAAGGATGAAATGAGGGATGTGCATGATGTGTGCAGTACGATCGACAAAGTATGCAGCCATGACAATTAACCAGCACCCTAAAAGAGGACATCAACCATGGAACTCACCTGGTGAAAAGAAACTAAGCAGTCATCTTGTTTCTCGTCAGATTGCGCATCAGATTGCGCATGCGCAAACACTACGCTCGTCTTCGCTGCAAGAAGAAAGACGAGAAGACGACGTTGGATTGCTAGGTTTGTGGCATTCCAAACGTAAATAAGACGGTGAGGAAGAAGAAGTCAAACTTCGAACCACAACAAATACTAGTGAAGTTAATTCCAGCAGCACACAACAACAACACGACAACTCCGTACAGGGAAACACAAAGACAAGGCGGACTGAGACGTCCTTTGCATGTCGCTAATCCAACGCATGTAGCCTGAACGTAGAACGGAAAGACGGGACATGTTGAACTACATGTACATGTATACACTGTATCACAGATGTTTGTTTGTTTATTTGTTTGTTTACTTGAATTCGCAGGACCAAACGAGCAGAGATGCTCAAGTCAAGAATAAGGCAACGAATCAGTATGGAGAAGTGAAACTGAGAACGGGTGATGAGAAGATAAAAGAAAGGAGGAGAAGGATGGAATGAGGCGTGTGCATGATGTGTGCAATACGATCGACAAGGTATGCAGCCATGCCACTTAACCAGCACCCTAAAAGAGGCCATCAAGCATGGAACTCACCTTGTGAAAAGAAACTAAGCAGCCATATTGTTTCCCGTCAGATTGCGCATGCGCAAACACTACGCTCGTCTTCGCTGCAAGAAGAAAGACGAGAAGACGACGTTGGATCGCTAGGTCTGTGGCATTCCAAACGTAAATTAGAGGTTGAGGAAGAAGAAGTCAAACTTCGAACCACAACAAATACTAGTGGGAAGTTAATTCGAGCAGTGCACAATAACACAACAACTCCCTGCAGAGAATACAAAAAAAAGACCAGGCGAAGAAGATGGATACCAATAATCGTACCTTGTTTGCCGCGCTGATTTAGTTGTGAAACCAGTAAATGACGGGCAGAATTCCTCTAAGTATGTCTCCCAGCTGAATACTGTCGTTGCTAAGCATAAAACTATCATTGTTTTAAACTGTTTCACAGTGAACTGGCTTCTCCTAGAGGACGAAAATTGGAGAAGAAGGATATGATACGTTCCTTCCAAACAACAACTACTGTACTAATGAAAGGAGCTCATCAACAGCAAGCTTCATTTCGTGCAGCCTCGCTTGCGAGCGACTGCAAGTGCAGCTGCTAGCGATCTCTCAGAAGGCGCGGATTCTGACCTTTCGACCCCTCGCTTCTCGGAACCGTCGCCGAGCAGTACGGTGCGCGGTAGCGCTAACGTTAGCGCACACTGCACGCTCGATGGCGTGAAAGCGATCACGGTCTGGTGCGAAATTTGCGCTGAACATGGTAACACCTTAGTATCCTCGTTCTCACGTGTGAACCTCGCGGCAGTGATCATGGACATGGCGATGGCTTTGTTGGGAGTGTTTCTGTCTGCTGGCAAGCAATAGACAACAAGACACCATTGTAGAAGGTACACACTAGCACTTCAGCTATGCAGTCTGCCAGCAGACATGTCTCTGACCAGAGTCAAAGATCTCCTCGCCAGGAACAGAGCGACACGAGCCGGCTGGGCATTGGCGCTGTTCAGTTTGCATTGACCGGCAGAGGGGGTACGGTAGTGCTAGCAGACGCGTGAAGGATAATCAGCCGTGAACTCCCTCCGCTCGGCTCCGAAGGAGCACCAACACTAACAGTTACATGAAACAATTGTTTGGTAACGATGGAAGCATCGAGACGACAATGAATCCGTCGTATCCAGGGAGTCGCAATCACTACATGCAGCATGCATAAGCGCCCAAAGCCAGTAACACTATTGTTTTCTTTCACACAGTTTCCAGTATTTCCTGATCCGTATCTTCCATGCTTCGACACGCTAGCGGATCCGCAAGGATGCTGATGAAGAAGGAATACATGTATTCAGCATTTCCGTAGAGCACCATGGTAAAAACCTTGGGCCATGGGTCAGATCTCCGTTCATGCCAACTTTCCTTCTTCTAAAAACAAACATGTATGATGCACGTGTGTAGCTCAGTGTCACGAATCTCAGTGAGCGCACAAAAGGAACGGTGGGCCATCTGTGGCTGGTCATGGCTATTGCATCCAAAAGCCGAGCTGCTCCCGGTGCCGAAAGCCGGGCGAACGCTCCTACATGATGGCTACTTCCCCTTGTCACTGCTAACCCCCCCCCCCCCAGACGAAAATAATAATAGTACTATTACTAGTAGCCGACTGGCCGAAATTAAAAAGAAAAGAAAAAGCCTTCTTCCTAAAGTCCTAAGGGCTAGAAGCAAATAGTTCAACAACGGTGTAAATGTGCAACGTTGCAACGGATCCTTCGCATTTTCGTCGGATACCGTCATTGGCGAAAGAACAACATGTACAGCCATGTACATGACGTATGTTCAGAGAGCAATGCAAGTGTGCAAGTGTCATTTGCAGTGCAAACGCTATTACATGTAGATCTACAAGTATTATTTATAGAGAACGCTACAACGTACTTCGAAATACTGGCAACTGTGAAATCAATTTGTGTCCATGAATATAAAGTGCACTCATTTGCAAATTGCCCCATATTGAAACTATGCTACAGCCCTTTTAGTGTTTTAGGGTACATTTACGCTATTCGCCCATACAGAAAATACTGCATGCCAAAGTAGACACCTCAAATGACTTGATATGAACGGAGCATGCAATACACTTGAAAGAACATCCCAGCCAGCATGCACAAAGTAATTCCATCGCACACAATCAAAAACAGACAGACCAGATCTGTGCCAGGCAAATGGAACACAATCATGTACCCGTACACTGAGGAGCACATTGTCATAGCACCAAGACTAGTATAAGCCCCCTGCTTATAATTAAAGGGGAAGTATACCCTAAAATCAAATTTTCACCAGTTGTAGTCTTCTGGGCGCTGAGTCGAATGGTCTTGGTCCGAGGAAGCTGCGACGCTCCCTTCCTACTTGAATCCCAATCGAACTCGCGCACTTCCACCGAAACTGGGTGACTGCGCCCTACTAGATGGGGATTTGTATGCAAAATGTCACTAAAAGCGCCATTTCGTTCTTATAAAAGCACTGATGACCGCGATTGGCCCATATGTTGTAGTCTTTTGGACGCTGAGTGGTTTTGGTCCGAAAAGGCTGCGATGCAGCGTTCCTCCTTTATTCCCAATCGAACATGGTTGAACAAGCGGTCACGTGCTCCTGGGTGCCCAAATCACCTGGTCACCGCGCCAGCAGGTGACAAATTATTATTTCACACCAAGGTTCAACTCGAGTTCAACTCGAGTGACAGGACTGCACCCAAAAAAGGTCAAACAGGCTAGTAAGTTGTACCCTGCAGGCACGGTGACCAGCTGACTGGTGTACGCAGGAGCACGTGACCGCCTCTTCAACCATGTTCGATTGGGAATAAAGGAGGAACGCTGCATCGCAGCCTTTTCGGACCAAAACCAGTCGACTCAGCGTCCAAAAGACTACAACATATGGGCCAATCGCGGTCATCCGTGCTTTTATAAGAACGAAATGGCGCTTTTAGTGACATTTTGCATACAAATCCCCATCTAGTAGGGCGCAGTCACCCAGTTTCGGTGGAAGTGCGCGAGTTCGATTGGGATTCAAGTAGGAAGGGAGCGTCGCAGCTTCCTCGGACCAAGACCATTCGACTCAGCACCCAGAAGACTACAACTGGTGAAAATTTGATTTTAGGGTATACTTCCCCTTTAATTACTGGCTTGATAGCACATGCCAGCTTGTACCCCATTCCTCCAGCAAAATCAGAAGAAGACCAGATAATATATGCGGCAGGCTAACAGCACAAATGCACCCGTACACCTGGGAGCACACGTGTGTGCGTGCATGCGTGCGCGCGCGCGTGTTGGTTGGATTTATTTAAAGTCGTACAACAAACAGGCATATCTGCCTCCTTATATGAAGACGACTTCCTTTTTTTGCGTGTGTGTAAGTGTGTGTGTGTGTGTGCCACGGGCACCCATTGCCATAACAGAGATACAGTGCTATGGGAATGGGTGTGTCCACCCGAATTCCTTTCAGAGATGAAGCTGCAGGAAGCCTCAGCCCTTCTCCAGAGAGATACAAAATACAAATTCAGACATTCATGGAGTGGCATGAGCAATCCCCCCATGCTGGGTATGCTACCCGGCCATACAGAAAACACTGCACACCAAAGTAGTAGACACCTTAGATTCAATGTTCACTGAGCTCGCATTCCAGCATGTATATATTCTCACCACAGACACAATCAGCAACAGACCAGATCTATGCCAGACAAATGGGGCACACGCATGATAAATTTTGGCTATTCCATCAAATTGGCCTGTGCCCCCTGGAATTCTCAAGGAACAGCAAAGTGCATTACCAAAACAAAAAGCAATCAAGATGGAGCCATGGAAACACTGTACAACTCGGCTAAACAGTTGTTCAGTAAACCATATTCACAAATGTGAGTCCTCCGGCTCGGTGGAGTGCTCAATATTCATTCGAATAGGGCTATCTTACGCACGACACAGAGCACCACACGCCATTCGTTGTAACTGGTAGTTTCGTGCCTATAGGCAATCATCAGACAAAATGTGTAAGTAAACCATTATTCATTCAGCCATCATCAGCATTGTCGTATTGCCCCGTAAGCCGGTACAACACAATATCCTCAGGCTAGGTGTACTCGCGAGGGAAAGTGTAGACTGAGTGATGTGAGTTGAGTATGTTGGCATACACGCCGGGCCGTAGGATCAGATTTCAAGTGCATAGCACCCACCAGCATAGGCTGTTACACCAGCAGAGCACGTGCTCCGTTATGTTCAAATGCTGCAAGAACACAGCAACGAGTGCAACGGAACGGAGAGTAGGGCGCTCCTTTGAACGGGAGTCAGATGTTTGGAAGAGGAAAAAAAGATTTATGACTGCTTGTGAGGTTGGGATAGCAGCAATGGCAAGAAAGCAAGCAGAAATGGAGAGGACAACGGCATGTGGCCATACTAGGCCCATAGGTTGCTACACAGGGCGTGTATCGCTGCAGTACAACAGCAACACATGCCACACTGCAGCAGAGTCCATGTACGCTCCAGTACCGACATGAACAAGCTCAGCAAACTGGGCCAAAGCAATAATATTAGAACAAGTTCTACCCAGAACACGTGCTCAAGCTATCAAATCGACAAATGGCTGAGCTTGGGTGAGCAGCACACATTAAGAGTAGCAGGCCTAAAAGAACTACACTCAGATGTCTCTTATCCGGGCACCTTGGGACCGGGCACTGCCCGTATCTCAGATTTGCCCGTATCTCAGGATAACTCATCTGCCATGTATCATTATCATTTTTGAAGAAGTTTTTTGGTGCATACTGCACATGTTTAGGTTACAAAAATAATCCACGGAAAAAATGTATGGATTACACAGGTTGGCAGTGACTAATAAGCATTTGTGCATTCGGAAAAAAAGTTCAACCCCCCAAATTCGAAGCATTTTTGCCATAGGAACTCAAGCTGAGGGTGGCCGGTAGAGAGACGTGCCCGTATCTGAGGCGTCCGGATAAGAGGCGTTTGAGAGTACTGTCACCAAGGTCAGCTACAGCCATAGAGCAAGAGGAACTAGAGAGTCCATAGCAGCATTGTTGTGAGCTGATGTTCAGTGTACAACAGTTGCAGCACTAGAGCACACAGCGTGACCAGCCGCATGGCCTCCAAGCGACAATACACGAACGCTGAATGCAACTAACCTGCTTCAGGATATATAGCTAGTGTGACAATCACAACTGGTGCTTCTCTCGCCTCTTGCTGGCGGTCTCTCTGCACAGACATAGTAGCAAGCCTGTCATGATTGTCCAATCCGCTTTACAACAGCCGTGTCCAAATCCATGCACACAAGTGGCAAGCAATGTACAGAGGACAACATTGTTCCCTCGGTTTTTCAACCGCAACAACTCGTCATCACAGGCTGCAGTAGGTCAACTACAGCTTGTGGCCATGGCACAGCGATATATTGTGTTGTGCTGCGTCCAAAAGCATGTGAGCTCAGGCCAGTACTCAACCCTCAATCAGTTAGCACAGATCATCAGTCTCCATGGGGATCTTGCTGCTAGGAGCAGTAGGCCAGTGTAGACCAATTGCCCTCTCTCTCTCTTTCTCTCTCCCTCTCTTTGATTCACTCTCGTTCCACCGAGCCGGCAGGTCTGACCCGTGGCTGAGCTTGGCTTCAAGTTGCCGGACAAGTAATTCCACTGGAAACAGAATAGATATAGTCTGCAGTGCTCAGGTAATGTTTGCTTTCTCCTGCTGCTCCTGTTGGCCCTGCTGTGTATGTGAGTTGGCCACTAAACTTGGGGTCCAAGGGCATGGCCCGTCTCGAAGCTCATCAGCGCCATGTGCGTACGCACATTGTGACGACGACAGCGGGCAGCCTTGCGGGTGGAACGCGTGGAACCAGCACAGCTTCGTCTTCAGCAGCTGTTCCTTGCTGGGCTTGCCGGGTCGGTGCTGTGGCGGCGGTCGTTTCCGGGTCTTGTCCCGGCCGCGTCCTGTCGTCGCTGTCTCCCCTGCAGTTGCAGTCGATGTGGAGGAATCAAAAGTTGGCCTCCAATCCTTCAGGGTTACTTGTCCCTGGATGACTGCATGCACACGAAGAAGATATAAAGAAAAACAGAGCTGCTCACAAAGTCTCCTAGTTCCTAAAACGCAGGGCTGCAACCAGGGAGTAGTAAAATACAGGGAGGTGACACGCCACTAATCGTGATTTTTGATGGGTGCCTCGCGCTTGTTTTTTTTTCTTTCGCAAAAAAGATGATCTGCTAGTCAATCTTGAGTATTTGTCGAAGAACTAATTCCGTGAAAAGGTCTATCCATCTCATGGAACAGCATTTGTTTTGCTCTTGTGATACATCTGTGTCATCGTCATATGGAAAGGTACCACCCTTCCGAAATTCGTCCCGATCGACGGCATGGAGCAATAGAACGAAGGTGATTTCCTTGAGAACAATACATGTACGATTGGAGATGAAAAGCGAGTGCACCGATTTCGAAGTCGACAAAATCTCTAGGACACCACACGATCGGCACTAATTTCTCCTCAGTTGTGATCAACCAGTACTTCTCTACCTTCTTTGTGATGATGAGCATTTCATATTATGGTATGCTAGAGATTCGGGAGTTCACTTTTCGGAATGAAATGTTCCTAAGTTTGTCAAGGATTGAAATGCGGGCTACGTCGTCGTAAACAGCTTGTATCGACACAGGAAAAATCTACGGCACGCAGGGATATCTCCCAAAGTGATACCACTCTTGCTGGACTTCTATCCTGACATAGTGGTAGTTTGGTCGACTACCAAACTTTGTGAAGGCAGACAATTGTTGGAAATTCTCAGCGCTGAGTTTCTACGGGCTGCAGTAGGAGTCTCTTTGGCGGTAGGTATTTTACTACTCGCTGATCGAGAGAATCCTGATCCGCGCGCGTGTCTACACACTTCGGTACCCATAGTACCCCAATCTCACCCGCCGGGTGAAAACGGTGCTGAGGCAATCGTCAAACTGGCCGTACATGCTCGTGTCACCTCCCTGTATTTTACTACTCCCTGGCTGCAACCAATTCCCAATCTTCCAGTAAACCTCATTAGTCATATACAGCACCACAACGTCACCGTTCAAGAATGGAGAAGTTAACAATGCTATGTGGTTCTTATCTAAGAGACACTCACTGGCAAGAACATTCATTCCTGCCTATTACCAAGAGTAGATGAAACAAGAGTGTGCAACTCCCGGATGGGTTGGCCCACGGCGGAAATGTTCGTTGACGTAATCTTTTCTACGACGCACGCGCTGCGAGTATTTTAGGGAGTTTTGCCTCCTGCACTTGGTTGAGCTTTACATTACAAGGTCGGTGCCAAGCAAGTGCTCTCACACTGCTCTGCGGCAAAATCCGTGTGCTCTGTACGACACGCGTCATGTTTTCTGAAAAAGGTGACGTCAACAAAAATTTCCGCCGTGGGCCGTGATATCTGCAGATTGTGCAGAAGAGATGAAGAGTTGCATACTCTTGTTTATCTCCTGCTATTGCCCTACTCACCTTTAAAGACTTGAGTAGTGTTTCTCAACACTGTCTGTAGACCACCACATTCCTGACGCAAAGAACGCAGCAGCAGCTTGTCAAACAGCTCAGCACATTCACCCAGTGACAGAGATCCTGGACACGCATAGAAACAAGTGCACGTGTGCGCACGCACACACACACACATGCACGCACACACACACACACACGAACACACACATACACATGCACACACACATGCATACACGTACATACACACAACAGCAGCAGCAGCAGCAACAACAAACTTTTACAACATAGGAACACACAAATTTAGCTACAGTCAACTTCGCCAATAAGGACTGCGGATATGACGACAATTCGTGAATAACGATAGAATTTTCATGCCCAGAGCAAAGTCCCATCTAACTGTAATATATACAATGAGACTTCAGGTATAAGGACACTCCACTTTTCTGATGCCCCGCCGAGTGTCGTTATACGCACAAAGTTGACTGCACTTCACCTTACATAACAATCCAGAAGAGCCACATTGTAATGAAGCACACCAGAAAATGGACACCATTCATGTCTTGTGCAAAAGAGAGAGAGAGAGAGAGAGAGAGAGAGAGAGAGAGAGTCAGAATGATTTATGTTACCGACACAAACAGTTACTCAAACAACAAAAATCCCGCCCAGTACCAGAGCAGAGCTCAGACCCGTGTTGAAGACTGAGTACTGTAAAACAATGTAATTTTAGGTGCATTAAAATTTCGGTGCCAGAGACCTGCCAGGTTTCAGATGTAATGTAGAATTAGATCACCAACGTTCCCTTCACATACAGTGCATACTCTAGTGGCTTTAGGTGTAATCTAAATTTAGGTGCCTGGTTTCTCCACCGAAAATTACATGTTTCACAGGACGTCCTAGGGTAGATAATCATGTACAAAAAACTGTCAGCCAGTTTAGTGAACAACACACATGACCCAGTACTCCCTACCGTGGCACAAGCACACAAACTACTACTACCGTAAAGTACCGTTGATCCGCCCCCTCTCTAATTCCCGCCCCCAGTCGATTTTCTACCTGTGAAGTGACTTCAGCGTATACAACGAAAATACGATGTTGAACCGACGTATGCACTGCTGTACACAATACTTGCCAATCCAGGATGAAAATGTGCACAATCCAGCACATCGAGTCTGAACTTCTACGTTGTTGTACATCGTACTGCACTTGACAGCCTTGATTTAATTCCCGCCCCCTGCCGAAAACCCAGCTGGGAAGCGACATGGCGTGGGGGGGGGGGGGGGGGATCAACGGTACTTTACGGTAGTAGTACTAACAGACTTTGTACATGCAATGGTGCAGGATCCGTCCTTTGGTCATTCCATATTCGTTTTGTTGCACACCGTTGTGCATTAGGTTTTTGCACCCTTGCACCATTTGAAGCATTCAGGAGCACCATTTGTAAAAAAAAACCCTTTAATCTCTTGACAGCACCCGTGCACTTTTGTGACACCTTTGCACATGTAGTGTAGCTTTCCACTGATCACTATGTCAGATTGTAGCTTTTTCCGTCCCACCAAGTCCACTTTCGGGACTTGGTGTGAGATTCTTCCGTGTCTGCAGTTTCATTCTTGTAGATGCATTCTGTATTATTCGTTGTTCTTTCTTGCATGATGTGCCCCAGTAAGATTAGCCTTTCGTTGCTCCAATCAACTTGCTACCACGTGTAGTCTTATGAAGCAGAGGATATAAACCTCACAATGGCGCAGTGAACAGGATTCTACATGTAGTGTTGTCTGTGGAAATAGACACTAGCTGTGATCAATCAAAGGAGCAGATTCGATAGCTGAAAGGGTTCCTTTGAAGGTGAAATAGGACTTAGATCATGAGCTGGGCCATGATCATTTCCAGACCTGGCTGGGCCAGCCGGAGATCGCCTTCCAGTTGCATAATGTAACAGACAACAAGCACAAGTATTAAGCTGCGGCAGCTTATCTTGGTGAGAGTGCAGCTCACTATTTATGGCAGCGGTATCCGACTGTAACGTCAGGAAATACCCCATATGATTCGTTGAAAACTTTGTTCAAAGAGTACTTGGGAAGTACCAGGAGCGTGGCCGTTGCCGCTCGACTGGCAGCACACCTTTTTTCCTTTTTTTCCTCGGTTGCAGTTGTAGAGTGTGGTTAGAGATTGATAGAGAATTTAGAGCTCTGATGGAGAGGCCAACGGCTCACTTCCTATGTGATCGGAAGACATGTCACTCAGCTATCGCCAAGGCACTTGTCGTGGCTGGACAATTCCTGGAGGTCGTGGCTGGACAATCCCTGGAGGCCGTGCTACAAATCAACCTCCATGGACGCCCTGGGACACGTGTCCTGACACCGAGCAGTCCTCAAGTGTGTGACGAGCTGGTCTAGACAGGATTGCAACTAAAGAACAGAAAAACCAGCGTGCTACCGGGCGACAGGGTCAGTTGCCCCAGTGACGGGTGTGTTTGCATGGTTGTGACTCTTGCGAGCCTACTCTGCATGGCGGACATGTATGTTGTGCCCTCGGGGACGTCGG